CATTTTAAATTTATCAAACTTGTTCAATAATTTGATATGGCACTCGCCTTAAGGCTCGCGTTATGTCACATTATTGAACTCGTTTAATAAATTCAGTATGACGTGGAACCTTATTCCAGATCATATATATCTTATATCACTATAATCGTCACCTGTGAAATACCACCGTACATTCAGGAGCATTTTCTTAAAAAATAACGGAAATTCTATACTCGCTAAAAATGCCAAGAGATGTTTAATTGCTATAAGATATAATTTAATGGTGATCTTGACCTATGTACATTGTTGAGAAAAAAAAAATTGTGTCTGGTAAAACGGTAAATATAGGCCTATTACTGGTTAGATATATGCTTCAGTTATTTTCCTGTGGTTTCCTGTCTTCCTGAGTTGTGTAATGGCACCTGTGATTGAGTTAATCTGGAGAATACTGCGTAGCTCTCATTAGAACTTCATTATATATCTGAATGGCACCATTAATGTAACAGGCGCTAGCCAGACGTGGCAGTAGAGATAGCATGCACTGCAACTATAGAGGAGGAGGACAAAGATAAGATCGGACTCTCAAAGTTCACTAAACGTACTGTAATGCAACTCGTGATGTAACAGTTTGCTCGACCTGTTGTTGTCGACTTTGAAGAAATCGTTCACAATATCGGCCATTGGGTGTTTTATACACGGAGTCTACGCGGTGTTCAGTGTTATCTGAGGAACGAGCCATTGAGAACACGCGACTTTGAGACTTTTTTGCCCTATCAGATTGACTATTCTTCTAACAAGCCCGGAATAGATCTGTGATTGTATTAATTGGATAAACACCACTTAAGGATGGAACGTCCGTCCTCTGGGTTCGCGCATTCCTAAGAAGATGGTCCAGAACTATTCTGATGATGTCCTCAGATTAATCGCAGGTGTAAATCAGTGATTTATGATATGGCGACATGATAATCAGCTGAAAGCTTTGGGATAGGCGTTAAATACATAGAGGATTAAACAGGAGTGTCCATGTCATATTGAATTTGTTAACACGAGCCTTTAGGCAAGTACGTGTCATACCAAATTATTGAACGAGTTTGACAAACTATGACATCTTCAATTATATTCAATTATGTGTTATCAGCTGACTCCATAAAGGTCAAAACCAAAGTACTCCAATCATGGTACTGTCGTTCTGCGCAGTGCAAGGAAGCTTAAGGTTTTTTTTGATAATAAGCTGTATTAAATGCAATGAAAAGGATAATGACAAAATAAACATTTTAAACTCACTTAAAATAGCAGTACATGTAAATGTATCATTGTGTATAGAAAATAAAAGTAGTACCTTTAGCGGTGTAGGAATATGTTCCCACCGTTTTGACCAATCGTGTGTAAAACCATATTCATGACATGGCCGTAGGACATAGTAAAATGGGTCAGCTATTTGATAAAAGTCATTTAAACTGGCGGATCGCTTCTCAATAATTTTTAATACATACAATGTACATACAAAGCGGGCTATGCCGATGTATAAATAACACGAGTGAATTTGTCACGGTCCAACATATTTGGATGTTTTGACGAAAATGTTATGACCTTTGTACCACAATTTAGTTTGTCAATATTTCAAGTTTATGACATCAGAAATTATCAATTAAAGTAAAACGAAACAGGGGAAACAATACAAAAGCTGTATATGACTGTTCGATGGTCACACAATGCTTACTGTCCGCATGTCAACGTTCTTTATTCCTGAGGCCTTACGACCTATACGTTGGTTATACAACATAAATTACAAACAAACGGAGAGTGAATCATAACGAAGTGTTTACATGCTTAAAATAAACAATATCATAATTAAACCCTTCAGTTTATTTTTTATTTTCCTGAATGCCAAATGTACAATTTTTTCCGTTTTATTTACTTCCTTAGCAGTATTTGCACTAAATGCTGACCAGCTTGAATACACTAGGTTTTCGATAATAAAATTTCTTAATATATTTTTGAGGTAAATCTGAATAAAATGGACATTTAAGTAAAAATTGGAATTCATCTTCAATTTAGGTTTAATTGCAACATGCACACATTCTGTCATGTCTCAAAATATTGTTATGTCTAACCTTTCTCTATGCTATGATCACGAGGTGATAGTTTAATACTAGATAAACACTTTCTGTACTCTGAATCAATAGGTTTACATAAACAATACAGTAAACATCTGTATCAACCAAATGTGGATATAAGTAACTACGTGATACTTGACTAATTTTAAATAACAATTCATGCGTGTATACATCATTAAATCTATATTTTATTATTTCAATGTACAACTTTCCACCTCACTACCATACCATAAATACGCTAACCCTAATTTTCTATTTCAGTTTTGATATTAATTATCCATTCATCATTCGACTGAATTCTTTGTTCTAAGCAGAATTTTAAGACACAAATTGCTAAAACACTCTTTTTATATGTATCAAATACAGAGCATTGTGTCTTAATATTAAAGTATTGACTTTTTATTTCACTACTCATTGAAAAATACGCTTTTCTTCTAGTGTACCTTGGTTATCGACATGTTTTTGTGTTTTACTAAATTTACCGTTATAAGTGAATAACATTCCATGGCAATTAAATTCATCAACCACTCATATAATTATATTGTTATATAGCCCCTTTTCTTCAGATCGCTTTCTACCCCCATTTCGAAAAATCATTATTTGTGTGTTTATCCACATTTAGTTTTTACTTCCAATCATTATTGTATAATAACAAAGCATCTAACATACCTTGAAGAGACTGCGGTGACTCTGCAATCAAAACTGTATCATCTGCAAACATTGTTAAAATAATGTTTATCAGACCTATTTCTAGTGATAAAACACATTCCAGTCATTTACATATAGACTATACAAGATCGGTGACAAAATTTCTCCTTGAAATAATCCAATCTTGTTTTGGTAGTATTCTGACAAAAGTCCATCATATTTGGTACAAGGTTTTCATATTAAGATTGCATAATTTTCAACATTTTCCCATCAATTTCCTGTTTAATCAGTTTTGACTATAAATAACTTCTATCAATCAAATCAAAAGTTTTTCTATATTCTATGAAGCAGCAATATAATCTTTTCCTCTTTTTAAGCGTTTTATTAATTATTTTCTGCAGCATATGAATAGCATCTATTATCGAAAAAACAGGTTTAAAACCAAATTCAGCATCTGTTATAATAAGTGTTACACCTCTTTAATTATCGGGATCATCAGCGTCACCTTTTTTCTGTGAATAGGAACAATGCAACCCTTTGACCAAGACTCTGGGAAAATCCAGACAGGAAAATATGATTAATAATAAATGTCATATACGGCAATAATTCAATTTTACAATCTATAAACAATTCATTAAAACTGTTATCCTCACTTCAAGTTTTGTTCCTATCAAGATTTCTGATTACTGCTATCACTTCATCCTCAGTGATTGGAGTATCTAATTCTTCGAAAATTGTGCTACCAGCATTAACTACAGGAGTTAATACATCAGCATTGCCAATCTCGTCTGAGTTTAAGTTTTTTAAATGCGAATAAAATTTATCCATACAAATAGTTGATTGTATGATTTTGCTTTTCGGCTAAGCGAAATAGATTGTTTCGGATTGTTTCTGCGTACCCTGTCCAACACGTCACCTTCGTGTCTTCCATACTGCCGTTTCAATCTATTTCCAAGCCTTTTATAATCTGATTTCTTTTGTATCAATTTTCGATTATTATCCTCCGACTTAACTCCGTTAAAGCTTGACAATGCTGTTCTGTACTCATTATACCTTCTCTTACATTCATTTGTAAACCAAGGTTTGTCAACAGATCTTTTAGTCTAACATGTATTTACGTCTTTATTATTATCAACTGTTGAATATCCTTAACATACATCGCATTGCGGTAACACTAATGTATTGATAACTTTACAAACACCATTTATGTTCTTGTTTACATCATTTTGTGTATATACAGTTATGTCACATACTCGCTTAAGACGATCTGCATTTTCATTCAGGTTTTTTTTCGGTAACGTCAACATTTCCACGCTTCCATTTTATTCGCTCACACGCTACTCTAGATGTAAGACTATATTTTTTACTTAAATGTTGTTCTCGCTTTTTATTCAAACGTAGTCTAAAAGACAAAGGAGCAAGATCAGAAATCGTTACAAAATTTCCCGAGTCGAAAAAGCAGATGTCGCGAAAATTATCAGCATGCATTAAGAGATAATCGATCGTACTCTTAGCATTTCTACTGGAAAACGTAAAACTTCCCTCTTTATCACCGTTGTGACGGCCATTAACAAAAGGCATACATGAATTTTTAACCAGTAAGCTTTGTAATATCGACACTTTACTCACATTTGAAACTTAAACCATTGACATATTGACGCTTCATATTCACGTGTGAAGAGTAAGCAATATGGTACAGTAATTAAATTCTCTTTGAAACAAGCATTTCTATTGGTGAAAGTTTTGTGTTATCAGCTCATAACATATAAAAAAAAAAAAAAAAAACACTGACGAAAAATACCACTTTCGGACCAAAGAACTGTAACAAGCTTTTTGATTGGATGATGGAAACAGTTTCGTTATGACGTCGGAGTATTGTTTTGTTTTTAATTGATTTTGAGTATTGCATCATTTGTTGCGTAATTTATCAAATTAAATGTTTGAAAATATTTAATCGTTTTTTAATTATATTTTAATTATATTATAAGTATAAACTTGAATGATTTGTTTACCACATTGAGCCATAACAGAAACTCTTTTCATAAACCATTCAAGTTAATCCTTAAGAGGTCTTACAGAGCGATTTTGCGCCGAGAGTGCATACGGTTTATTGGTTCGTCGGTGAATACATTCAAAGACTTAAGTATAGGAATCCATCCTTAATGTGTTGGTTGTGTGTCGATAAGACTGTGTTCATACGTTTGTCCGTGGATTTTTACATAATTCTGTATCAATCCTCATTTTTCTTTTTAACAGGTAGTCAAGATGCTGATTATCGTTGTCTGTCTGTTTGTGCTGTGTTGGATGCCGCTACAGGTGTATCAGGTCCTGTCGGAGCTATACGTGGAGGTGAACAAGTAAGGAAAACATACACATATCATAGGTACACGTATTATAATCTCATTCAACACTAAATATAGATATAATAAACTCATTGAATACTTAGCAGAGATATACACAGACATTGGGGAACGTCATCGTCCTACCATTTATAACATTCCTGATCTACCCAGACATTGGGGAACGTCATCGTCCTACCATTTATAACATTCCTGATCTACCAAGACATTGGGTAACGTCATCGTTCTTCCATTTATAACATTCCTGATCTACCCAGACATTGGGGTACGTCATCGTCCTACCATTTATAACATTCCTGATTTATCAAGACATTGTGGAACGTCATCGTCCTACCATTTATAACATTCATGATCTACCCAGACATTGGGTACCGTCATCGTCCTACAATTTATAACATTCCTGATCTACCCAGACATTGGGGAACGTCATCGTCCTTCCATTTATAACATTCCTGTTCTACCCAGACATTGGGGAACGTCATCGTCCTTCCATTTATAACATTCCTGTTCTACCCAGACATTGGGAAACGTCATCGTCCTACCAGTTATAACATTCCTGATCTACCCAGACATTGGGGAATGTCATCGACCTACAATTTATAACATTCCTGATCTACCTCCTACCATTTATAACATTCCTGATCTACCAAGATATTAGGGAACGTCATCGTCCTATCATTTATAACATTCCCGATCTACCCAGACATTGGGTAACGTCATCGTCCTTCCATTTATAACATTCCTGTTCTACCCAGACATTGGGAAACGTCATCGTCCTACCAGTTATAACATTCCTGATCTACCCAGACATTGGGGAATGTCATCGACCTACAATTTATAACATTCCTGATCTACCTCCTACCATTTATAACATTCCTGATCTACCAAGATATTAGGGAACGTCATCGTCCTATCATTTATAACATTCCTGATCTACCCAGACATTAGGGTACGTCATCGTCCTACCATTTATAACATTCCTGATTTATCAAGACATTGTGGAACGTCATCGTCCTACCAGTTATAACATTCCTGATCTACCCAGACATTGGGGAATGTCATCGACCTACAATTTATAACATTCCTGATCTACCCAGACATTGGGGAACGTCATCGTCCTACCAGTTATAACATTCCTGATCTACCCAGACATTGGGTAACGTCATCGTCTTACCATTTATAATATTCCTGATCTACACAGACATTGGGGAACGTCATCGTCCTACCATTTATAACATTCCTGATCTACCCAGACAATGGGAAACTACATCGTCCTACCATTTATAACATTCCTGATCTACCAAGACATTGGGTAACGTCATCGTTCTTCCATTTATAACATTCCTGATCTACCCAGACATTAGGGTACGTCATCGTCCTACCATTTATAACATTCTTGATCTATCCAGACATTGTGGAACGTCATCGTCCTACCATTTATAACATTCCTGATCTACCCAGACATTAGGGTACGTCATCATCCTACCATTTATAACATTCTTGATCTATCCAGACATTGTGGAACGTCATCGTCCTACCATTTATAACATTCCTGATCTACCCAGACATTGGGGTACGTCATCGTCTTACCATTTATAACATTCCTGATCTACCCAGACATTGGGGAACGTCATCGTCCTACCATTTATAACATTCCTGATCTACCAAGATATTAGGGAACGTCATCGTCCTATCATTTATAACATTCCCGATCTACCCAGACATTGGGGAACGTCATCGTCCTACCATTTATAACATTCCTGATCTACCCAGACATTGGGGAACGTCATCGTCCTACCATTTATAACATTCCTGATCTACCCAGACATTGGGGAACGTCATCGTCCTACCATTTATAACATTCCTGATCTACCCAGACATTGGGGAACGTCATCGTCCTACCATTTATAACATTCCTGATCTACCCAGACATTGGGGAACGTCATCGTCCTACCATTTATAACATTCCTGATCTACCCAGACATTGGGGAACGTCATCGTCCTACCATTTATAACATTCCTGATCTACCCAGACATTGGGGAACGTCATCGTCCTACCATTTATAACATTCCTGATCTACCCAGACATTGGGGAACGTCATCGTCCTACCATTTATAACATTCCTGATCTACCCAGACATTGGGGAACGTCATCGTCCTACCATTTATAACATTCCTGATCTACCCAGACATTGGGGAACGTCATCGTCCTACCATTTATAACATTCCTGATCTACCCAGACATTGGGGAACGTCATCGTCCTACCATTTATAACATTCCTGATCTACCCAGACATTGGGGAACGTCATCGTCCTACCATTTATAACATTCCTGATCTACCCAGACATTGGGGAACGTCATCGTCCTACCATTTATAACATTCCTGATCTACCCAGACATTGGGGAACGTCATCGTCCTACCATTTATAACATTCCTGATCTACCCAGACATTGGGGAACGTCATCGTCCTACCATTTATAACATTCCTGATCTACCCAGACATTGGGGAACGTCATCGTCCTACCATTTATAACATTCCTGATCTACCCAGACATTGGGGAACGTCATCGTCCTACCATTTATAACATTCCTGATCTACCCAGACATTGGGGAACGTCATCGTCCTACCATTTATAACATTCCTGATCTACCCAGACATTGGGGAACGTCATCGTCCTACCATTTATAACATTCCTGATCTACCCAGACATTGGGGAACGTCATCGTCCTACCATTTATAACATTCCTGATCTACCCAGACATTGGGGAACGTCATCGTCCTACCATTTATAACATTCCTGATCTACCCAGACATTGGGGAACGTCATCGTCCTACCATTTATAACATTCCTGATCTACCCAGACATTGGGGAACGTCATCGTCCTACCATTTATAACATTCCTGATCTACCCAGACATTGGGGAACGTCATCGTCCTACCATTTATAACATTCCTGATCTACCCAGACATTGGGGAACGTCATCGTCCTACCATTTATAACATTCCTGATCTACCCAGACATTGGGGAACGTCATCGTCCTACCATTTATAACATTCCTGATCTACCCAGACATTGGGGAACGTCATCGTCCTACCATTTATAACATTCCTGATCTACCCAGACATTGGGGAACGTCATCGTCCTACCATTTATAACATTCCTGATCTACCCAGACATTGGGGAACGTCATCGTCCTACCATTTATAACATTCCTGATCTACCCAGACATTGGGGAACGTCATCGTCCTACCATTTATAACATTCCTGATCTACCCAGACATTGGGGAACGTCATCGTCCTACCATTTATAACATTCCTGATCTACCCAGACATTGGGGAACGTCATCGTCCTACCATTTATAACATTCCTGATCTACCCAGACATTGGGGAACGTCATCGTCCTACCATTTATAACATTCCTGATCTACCCAGACATTGGGGAACGTCATCGTCCTACCATTTATAACATTCCTGATCTACCCAGACATTGGGGAACGTCATCGTCCTACCATTTATAACATTCCTGATCTACCCAGACATTGGGGAACGTCATCGTCCTACCATTTATAACATTCCTGATCTACCCAGACATTGGGGAACGTCATCGTCCTACCATTTATAACATTCCTGATCTACCCAGACATTGGGGAACGTCATCGTCCTACCATTTATAACATTCCTGATCTACCCAGACATTAGGGAACGTCATCGTCCTACCATTTATAACATTCCTGATCTACCCAGACATTGGGAAACTTCATCGTCCTCCCATTTATAACATTCCTGATCTACTCAGACATTTGGTAACGTCATCGTTTTACCATTTATAACATTCCTGATCTATCCAGACATTGTGGAACGTCATCGTCCTGTCATTTATAACATTCCTGATCTACCCAGACATTGGGGAACGTCATCGTCCTATCATTTATAACATTCCTGACCTATCCAGACATTGTGGAACGTCATCGTCTTTCCATTTATAACATTCCTGATCTATCCAGACATTGGGGAACGTCATCGTCCTATCATTTATAACATTCCCGATGTACCCAGACATTGTGGAACGTCATCGTCCTACCATTTATAACATTCCTGATCTATCCAGACATTGGGGAACGTCATCTTCCTATCATTTATAACATTCCTGACCTATCCCGACATTGGGGAACGTCATCGTCCTCTCATTTATAACATTCCTGATCTACCCAGGCATTGGGGAACGTCATCGTCTTACCATTTATAACATTCCTGATCTACCCAGACATTGGGAAACTTTATCGTCGTACCATTTATAACATTCCCGATCTACCAAGACATTGGGGAACGTCATCGTCCTACCATTTTTTGAAATTCTTTGGTCTCACACTGCCGTAACGTGTTGCTTTAAATTCCTCTCTTTCAATTTTCGGATCTGTCGAATCAAATTTAACAAACGAAAAACAGAAGGAGTCATTGAAATCTAATTATTTTAGGTTAAACCATTTAACATCCACGTGTCAAATTACTTAATCTTCAAAAGTGGAGATTGTATGATGAGATTAATCTAACGAGATGTAACAAATTATCGAGAAACTCATTATAAATCTCACACTTATGATGTGTTAACTATACTCTCTGCGAAATGTGCTTAAGAAAATATTTCACATGCACGTGTAAAATCATTTTAGTAAATTAAAATTTATGTTATAAAGCATAGTTCAAACACTTTAAAATCTTAATATCACGTAGTTTCTGTTTCCATTTAATAAAGCGTCCAAATAACTAATGTCTTTAATCACTTTCTGAAACTCTAGTTACAAAACTTGCTCTCAGACCTGTTACCAGGATCGCATCAGATCTCAGTCGATTTCTCTCCGTTCACCAATGTATGCTTAACATGACAGGGGCATTCTTTATCTAATCTCCATTTTAAGTTGGTTAGAGGGATATGTCTCTCAGTGATGGCATTAATATCAACATGTCAACAACTGTTCATAGAACCAACAGTGT